TTCAGATTTATATGAAAAATGTTACTGCATTTGAATAAGAAAAAGGAAGGAGGCAGATAAGTTAGGGTGATTCAGGTTATAAGGGTCCAGTTTCTTAATTACTTAAGCTTCTTATGTAAATATTTTTTATTAGGGAGCATGTTTTGAGAGGCTTGTAAAGTTGTATCTGGTAGGGGGAGTTTCTGAAATATGTTTATGATAGAACCCAACTCAGTTTATCCGTAGGATTTAGTTTAGGATTATGTTATTTGAATTTTGTTATAATAACTTATATTTAGGATTTAGTTTAGGAGTATGTTATTTGAATTTTGTTATCATAGCTTATCTTTAGGATTTATCTGTTTTTATCAATTTTAGGTAGTTAGTTGATGGAGAAGATAATAAATATAGAGTAGATTGAGATAGAGAGAGACAGTTTTGGTGAATTTTTATTGAATTGTAATCAGAGCTGGTGCTCTAGGAGAGGGAGGCGGTAGATTAATCTGCCAATCTCTTTTTTCTTTTGAAATAATAACAATGCCCAACCATTTTGGGTTTCCATGTTTACCTCTAGGTGGAATGTAAAGTAGCATACCCAACTAACTTCCTTCAATGTAAATATTGGTATAAGACAAGGATGTAAAAGCTGTTTCAAACATGTAATAGTCCCTAATGTGGCTGCTGGACTTGTACTTCATGTTTAAACTTTTGCCCTTGAGTCTTGACAACTCTTAAATTTGGACTGTCATTTTTTTTTTCTTCATATATTTGAAACTGGCAGCTTGTCATTGAATAACCATAGACACTGGACTATGACTAATTGGAACGTGCCAGCCATTTACATGGTGGATTTTCTGACAGAATTTCGCACATGTTTGACATGTTTCCATAAATCTATGCATGTATGGTGACAGGACCATGAGTTTGAATTGAACACAACATGAGAAAGTAAGCGCACAGTAGAAAATGCTGAATGATTTGAGATGCATTTTCATTGCTATGAACTTGGAATAGCTAACTTCAAATAATTAGTAAACTTGTTAATATTGGTATGGGATGGCTACTTCACTCCTCCGAAGGTAATAAACTAGGTACTGTATCTAGAATTTTGTAGATAATGTATCTAGCAGATACATTAGTAGAGACTCATGGAGAAGTACACATTGAGGTATTTAAGTTATCTTTTGATAGGACTCAGAAAAATGAAAAGATACATAACTAAATAAAATGTTTTTTCTTTTACTCGGATAACAGTGAGTCTCCCCGTTAATCACTGCATAATGAGGAAAATAAAAGAGGCATAGGACAGTGACGAAAAACAACAAATGGTTGGGGATGATATGGAGCACTGCTCCTTACAACGTGATGGTGGTAAACCAGAAACTAAAGAAAACCTTTCCTGAAGAAGACCCACTCAACAACCCCTCTCTTCTTCGGTTCTCCCCTCCATATTCCCCTTCTCTCTCTCCTCCTTGTCCATGATTCATGCATCTTCCCTTCCAATCTTAGCCTGCCAGGTTTCCATTTTGTTATTCTCTCTCATACTTTCTTTCCCTTCCTCAACTGATGCCAATTGTTCCCTTGTTCCATCATTTACCATCGGGCTAGGCCTAACAAGCCCGTCAGACTCTTCCTCACTTCCCATGCCCTTTCTTTTCCTCCTTTTTTATAGAGTTGCATTATGGGCATATCATTTTTGTAGAGGTAATACTAAGTTATCAGGTAGCTTAGTCTAACCCCGCCCCTACACATTTGAAGTGTTTCAGTTATAACTTTCGCTGTATATCGCTAATTGCAGAATTTTTAAATTTGGTTTTATGGTTAAATTAGGAATTGGCACGCCACTATCATCATATGGATATTGTAGAAATATTTGCTTTATTTATTCTAATAATAACAGTAGAGTAGAACAACTTAAATTAAGAAAAACAAAGGGAGACAGATCCCTTAAACAAAGGGAAATAGAATCCCTTAAAAAGGGAAAGAGATAAAAA